GGGTCTCTCAGGGAGGAGCATGCCCCACAGGAACCAGCCTGAGCTGGACCCCTCCTGTAAGCCTGGGCAAGTAGCTTGCAGAAATCTCATCCTGGGTGAAGGGCGGTGATTGTGAAATCAAGTTCAGAGGGGGCGATTAAGTGCCCAAGAGCCACACAGCTGTGAGAGGTGGGGCTGTGCCTTGAAATCTCCTTCTCTGTGGAACACTATCCTTTGCTTTGTCAGTGTGTTTCTACTGACCTGTCTCGTACACCATGGGTCTCTGCCCAACCCATGTTTCTGTAAGGTAGTTGTCTCTTTGTGACCACAGGTAACCGATATCTACCCCACCTGGCATGGATTAGGTCTGACCCTTGTTCATTCCGCTTTTATTTTCCTTCCTTGTTGGGTTTGGCAGGCGGCCATGGGACTGTCTGTCCCTACACTGTGTCCAGCTCAGGTGCACTTCGACGAGAAAGCGGTTTCCATTTGGGTCTTCTGGCTGCAACCAGAGCACCATGCCCAGTGACAGAGGCCACAGCCTTTGTGTGACATGGCAGCCTGTGTTCCAAGGAGAGCACAAAGTGAAGAGGTCCATCCACTTGTGGGGACTCTCATCCTTCTGAGTTGATCTCATGATGGGGACAGGCCCACCCTGAACACTCAGGCCTCTCTGACCAGGGCCTGGGATCTATAATGTGTTAGCTTACAGTGGAGACCTGGCCTGGGAACCTCGCTGGCCCTGTGTCCAGGTCATTGGAGGAGGGAGATCCATTGCTCTGAGAAGTAGACTCTCTGGCCTCGAGAGACCATTCTACCACCCCCTCCCCAAGTGCCTTTGTTAGTGTGACTCAAAAGGGACAAACACTCATTTTTACCCCAAACCCCACCCACTCTAACTGCTGAGCCATCTTAGCTCTGCTCCCACATCCTCTTGTATGTGGTTCTCAGCAGGCTCAACTCAGCCTTCACTGAACAGGTAGGTGAGGTAGCTGAGCACAGAGAGGTACTCCCCCCACTTCTGGTCACACAGCCAGAACAGACCCTCAGCTTTCAGAACCCAGATCCCCATCCTAGGTTCCTCTATGGAGCCAGGTTGGATGAGACAGGAACAAGGCTGCTTTCCTCTCCCAACACAATAGGTTATACGCTCAGCCTAGACAGGGCTGGAAGCTATCAGAATCATCCAGTTTCATGGCTCTGGCTAGCAAGATGGAGATTTTCCTGCTGGAGACTGAGCTGTGGCTGACTATGGCTGCTTTTCTGCCCTACATGGCTGGTTAAACAGCATCGGCACTGGGAGCCAAGGCAAGCTGGTCTCCCTTTGATTTTTCCCACCTTAATTACCCAGTGCTGACTCTGGAGGGGTAACAAGGCCAGGCAAGGGAGGAGAGAGGCAGAAACCAGCGGGCAAGCCAGACCAGTCAGGACTTGTGTGTCCACGGGTGTGGTAGGAACCATAGCAGCCCTGCCACACTCCCCCTTCACCACCCCCCAGCCTCTCCAGACCCAGTGCTGGCCATCCCCCTGCCTCCTTATGCTCTGAGTGACTCTGTGGCCTAGATATGCGTCTCAGAGCGTGTGTGTGTGTGTGGTGTGTACGCTGATGTGGAGATCAGAGGTCGACATTGGATGTCTTATTCAATCTCCCCATTTTTTTGAGGCAGGGCATCTCACTGAATCTGGAGCTTCCCAATGAGGCTAGGCTACTAGCGAGCTCTGGAGACCCGCCTCTCAGTTTCCCCAGCACCAGGATTCCAAGTATGTACCACCACCGCATACAGCTTTTTTTATATGTGTGCTGGGGATGGAACTCGGTCTTCATGTTTGCATGGCAAACACTTTACTAATTGAGTCATCACCCCAGACATAGAGTTTATTTTGGCCCACAGGACCAAGCCCTGTGTCTCCCAGGCTGCAGGTTCCTGGGAGGTACAGGGATTGGCCTGGACCTCAAGGCTGAGAGGAAGCGCCCAGTCCAGATGCTGGCAGTGCACAGACAGGAGGAGCTGGGACTGTGTTGAGGAGCTCACACTGCGTGGGTGCATTTCCTCAGGAGAGTTCTGGACCCCAGGGTTCCAAGGTTTTCACGACACCAAACACATAAAGCAAAGTATCAAACATGGAAAACTCACACATCAAATAAAAATACATTTTAAAAAAATTTTTAGGGGCTGGAGAGATGGCTCAGCGGTTAAGAGCCCTGACGACTCTTGCAGAGAACCCGGGTTCAATTCCCAGCATCCACATGGTGGCTCCGAATGTCCTTAACGCCAGTTCCAGGGGAATCCGAAGCCCTCTTCTGACCTCCGCGGCACTGCATGACACGGGTGCACTCACATACATGCAGGCAATACACTCATACACATAAAATAAAAATATATTTTTTAAATGTTTTAAAATCACAATTCAGGAGGTATGAGAGATGGTTCAGTGGTTAAGAGCACTGACTGCTTTTGCAAATGACTTGGATTCAGTGCCCAGCCACCCACATGGTGGTTAACAATGGTCTGTAACTCCATTTATAGGGGATCTGATGCCCTCTTCTGGCCCCTATGGGCACTACATGCATGCAAATGGTGCACCTACATACATTCAAGGAAACACTCATACATGTAAAATATAAATAAATGAATGTTTTAAAAACAAAAATATAAATTTTAAATAAAAATCACAATTCCGTGATTTTCACGTTGCTGCCAAATCTTTATCACCACCCAAGTCTAGAATATTCTTTCTATCACAAAACAAAGCCTGTCTCATCAGCAGCCACTCAGACCTCTCCCTCAGGCCCTAGCAACCAAGCACTCCTGGTCTCGTGGTCTGAGGTTCTGGGTGGGGTGTGTGGTAGGAGCCACATGCGGATTCTCTTCTGGCTTCTCTCTACACTGGATGTCCTGGGGTCCTCCGCGTGGCAGGTCATGGTCCCTTTTCATCTTTTTTGATGTTGCGTTTTCTCCTTGTATAAAAACAGTGTTTTAGGGCTGTGAATGTAGCTCAGTTGGTAGAGCTCTTGCCTAGCATGCATGAAACCCTGGGTTCCATCCCCAGCACTGCATAAACCAGATATGGTAATGTGCGCCTATAATCCCGACACTGGGAGGTGGAGGCAGGAGGATCAGCAGTTCAAGGTCGGGGACTGGGGAGGAAGCCAGACAGTGTAGTGTTTGCCTGGCAACCCGAAGGATCTCGGTTCAATCCCCAGACTCCATGTTTAAAATGAATAAGTGTGGGGGTACACATTCATAATATCAGCACAGAGGAGGTGGAGGCAGGGGGATCACTGGGACTGCTGGCCAGCCAGCCTAGCCTGCTTGTGAATAGCTAGCATGGAAGGGACCCTGTCTCCAAAACAAGGTGGACAGCACCTGAGAAATGACCCCTTAGGGAAAATATCTGTACACACGTGCACCTGTGCACCCACAAATGTCACAACGAAGTTCAAAGTCATCTGCTACATAACAAGTCTAAGACCAGCCTGGGCTACATGAAACCGTGTCCCAAGAGGGAAAAAAGAAAAAGAAAACTGTGTTTTGCTTGTCCAGTGTTGGCAGCTGGTGTCTGGGTGGAGCTCCTGTGTGGAAGTGTCTTCACCTCTCTGAGGTGATTGGTGGGAACCTGGGTGGGGAACGGCACCATGTGTAACCCTCTGAGGAGCCAACCAGCTTCCATGCATCTGGGGTTCCCTCTTGACACATGTCACCATCTAGCCCTTTGATCACAACCACCTAGAGAGTATGAGGCACTGTCTCACTGTGAGTTTGAACTTTCTAAATGGCTGGGATGCTGGGCATCTTCCCATGAGCTTCATGGCCATTTGTGAGGTTGTGTTTTCGTGTGTGTGTGTGTGTGTACACATGCCCACGTGTATGCACAGGATGTCAGAGGTCAACCAGGGTGTCATCTGTTCTTTAGGTGCCGACCTCTTCTCTTTTTGATACAGAGTCTATCCCTTTTCCCCAGAACTCACTGATTCAACCAGCAGGCTGGCTGACCAGTGAGCCCCAGGGATCCTCCTCTCTCCCTTCCTGGCCTGGAGTCTAGGCATGTACCATCACACCTGGCTCTTTACATGGATCCCGGGGATCCAACTCAGTTGCTCCTGTTTGCACGGTGGGCAAACTTTAGCCTCTGAGCTGCCTCTCCAGACCCCATTTGTGTTTCTTCCTTGGAACATGGATCTACCTGTGTATGTCTTTACCTGGGTTCCTTTCATGGCCAAGCTGCTGGAGCTCTTTGCACGTTCTTCATGCTTATCCCCTCCCCCAGGTGTGGGATAGGTAGTTTTCTCTGGTTCCATGGAGCATCTTGGCTCTTCACGGTGTGAGTCAATCTTAGAGGGCTGTTGAACATTAAGTCTAGAGTTTCTAGACCACAGGCTTCAGCTCTGAATGTGTAAAGCTAGCAGCCCAGGCCAGGCTCTGACTTCACTCGAGTGGTAGTCTTCTCTTTGGGCTATGTTCTGAAGAGTGGGGTGTCATAGTTGGCTTCAGTTGTCAATTTGACACAAGGGGGGAGGGAGAACGACCCTCAACTGAGGAATTTCCTCCCCCAGACTAGCCTGTGGCCATGTCTATGGGGCATTTTCTTGATCGCTAATTGATGTAGGAGGGCCCAGCCCACTATGGTGCTGCCATCCCTGGACAGGTGGGCCTGGGCTGTATAAGAAAGGTAGCTGAGTAAGCCAGGGGAGCAAACCAATAAGCAGTGTTCCTCCATGGTCTCTGCTTCAGTTCCTGCCTCCAGGTTCCTGCCTTGAGCTCCTGCCTTGGCTTCCCTTGATGACAGACTGTGAGGTGTAAGCCAGATAAACACTTTCCTCCCTGAGTTGTTTTTGGTCAGTGTTTCATCACATCATCAGAAAAGTAACTATTACATGGGTTCAGGGTGATAACAGATGCTGTGTGGTGAGACCTGTGACACTGGCAGAGCCCTGGGAAGGCCTTGAGGTGCCATATGGGGATAGCCCTGTGGGCATTGCTGGCTGAGGTGCCACTGACCACATCTGTCTCCCTCTTCAGCCAACAACATCTGCTTCTATGGGGAGTGTTCCTACTACTGCTCCACAGAGCACGCCCTGTGTGGGAGGCCCGACCAGATCGAGGGCTCACTGGCTGCCTTCCTGCCTGACCTGTCCCTGGCCAAGAGGAAGACGTGGCGGAACCCCTGGCGCCGCTCCTACCACAAGCGCAAGAAGGCGGAGTGAGTGGGGCGCGTGGGACTTGGGGACTGCGTAGCTGAGGACACTCGACCTAGGGGTGAGGGGTCAGTGGTCCATGGCATGGGTAGGAAGCAGGCAACAGGGCCTGGGCAGGACCAGCTCTACTATGCCACTGTGAGATGATGGCGACCACCTGTCATGGTTACTTGTCTCATTGCTGTGACCTGACCAAAGCAACTTAAAGGAGGAAGGGTTTACTGTGACTCACAGCGTGAGGGTAAAGGAGGAAGGGTTTACTGTGACTCACAGCGTGAGGGTAAAGGAGGAAGGGTTTATTCTGGCTCCATCGTAGTGGGAAGGCATGGCGGCAGGAGCGTGAGGCCTCTGGTCACATCGTGAGGCCGCTGGTCACATGTTGTCCACAGTCAGGAAGCAGAGAGAGATGCATGCTGGTGCTCAGCTCACTTTCCCCTTTCTATTCAGTCCAGGCCCCCAGCCCCGTGGGATGGTGCTGCTGACATCCAGGGTGGGTCTTCCCCCCTTCAGTTAAACCTTTCTGGAAATGCCCTCAGAGACACACCCAGAGATGTGTTTCCATGGTGATCCTAAATCCAGTCCAGTTGGCAATATTCACCACCACAGGGTTTCTATCTGAGAATAAGGAGAAGTGCTGGCCTGGCACCCATCAAAATGCCACCTGCCAGTGCTTGAGTTGGGCTTTGCTTCTGTTCCTCCGTCCCTGTACAGAAAGCACATCCCGTCAGTCAAGAAAAATGTTATGTCTGTGAGTCATTGGGTCTTAAAAGTGAGCCCCCACCACTACTACCAGCTGACAGTGCTTCCATGCCTGGTCCCTTCAGAGCTGGTAGAGTGAATTCATCACCTCCCAGCCCCCTACTCCTATTAATGCAGCCTCATAGCCTGTCCCAAAGTGTGTTCCTTTGCAGACACTCCATCCACATGTGAATCGTCCTTGTGAAATGTGAGCCTGCTGGATCTGTGCTCTGCCAAGCCATACAGCACCCCAAATCTGGCCTGGGCCTCCCTGTCCACACGGGGGAGAGACTCTGTCTTGGTCTCACACTGGCTCCCTGCAGGTGGGAAGTGGACCCTGATTACTGTGAAGAAGTGAAGCAGACACCACCCTACGACAGCGGCCACCGCATCCTAGACATCATGGACATGACCATCTTTGATTTCCTCATGGGTATGTCCTGCAGGGCATGCTTGCTGCCAGGAATGCCTAATTGGCTTTAACTGGTGTTGTAGTTTGCTGTCTGTTACTGTGATAAGACATTGACCAAAATCAACTTGGGGAAGAAAGAGTTTATTTCACCTTACAGCTCACAGTCCATCACCCAGGGAAGTCAGGGCAGGAACTGGAGCAGGAACAGAAGCACAGATCATGGAGGGTTGCTATTTGCTGGCTTGCTCCCCATGGCCTGCTCGGCTGCCTTTCTTATACAGCCCAGGCCCACCTGCCTAGGGATGGGATTGCCCACAGTGGGCTCCGCCCTCCTACATCAATTAGCAATCAAGAAAATGACCCACAGACGTGGCCACAGGCCAATCTGATGGAGGAAATTCCCAGTTGAGATTCCCCCTCCCCAGGTGATTCTAGTTAGTGTCAAGGTGACAAAAACTAACCAGTACAACTGACCCCTTGTCAACTTGACACACAGACACATCACTGTAATTCATACTCTTTTCATTTCTTGTCCCCAAGATCTCATGCTAATGTCACAGTATAAAATACAGTCCAACCTTTTAAAGTTCCACCATCTTTTAAAAAGTCCAAAGTCAACTGTGGGCTCCTATAAAATAAAAGGTAAGTTATTTACTTTCTTATTCTAAGAGGGAAGAACCAAGGCACAGTTACAATCAGATCCAAACAAAGCCAAAATCCTCGAGTATAAAAAGTTCAGTGTCCATGTCAGGGACTCACTCGGATCGAGGCACCGCCTGGTGATTGTGACTGGGGAGGGCAGTGGCCTCTGAATGTCTGTGTGCTTGTCCCCACAGGGAACATGGATAGACATCACTACGAGACCTTCGAGAAGTTTGGGAACGAGACATTCATCATACACTTGGACAACGGGCGTGGGTGGGTCTTGTGCCCCCCATAGACCCTGAGGAGTGGCTATCTCTATCCCTGGGGGCCCAGCCCAGTCTGAGAAGCAGGCCCTGGGTCAAGGGAAATCACCCTCACCTGGGGCAGGGTGCTGTCAGCAGGGAGGTGGAGGCCCTGAAATGTGCTAGATTCAGAGCAGTGACTGTTTGACCCATGGTTACTGGACTGAGGTGGGCGGGATCCTCCAGGGTCATCCCAGCTTCTTCCCCTCCCCTCAGGACCTGACCTCCGTCCCTCCTCTTTCCTTCTGCAGGTTTGGGAAATACTCACATGACGAACTTTCTATTCTAGCTCCTCTTCATCAGTGCTGCAGGTACGAGCTGAGCCTAACCGCTCCTCCCCAGTTGCTCCTTCCTGGCCATTCCTCCCCAGCCATTCCTCCCTGGCTGCCCCTCCCTGGCCAGTCCTCCCCAGCTGCAGCCATCACTGCAGGAGCATCCAAAGCTGAGCCTGCCCACTCCCAGCCCGCTGTAGCACAGGGGACAGGCATCCACAGCCTCAGCCCACCCCACCTCACCACCTGTGGTTTCTGCTGGATCATCTTCCTCCCTGAGCCTCACCTGGGTCCTTATGCCTTCCACCCATAAGGACCCTGTGAGGACACCAAGGTCCACACGCAGGGTCCTTGGGTCCTGGCTGTGGGCCAGACCCATCCCACTTACCTGCCACAGGTTCTAAACTTATCCCCTCCTTCATGGTTGGACACAGGTGTCTGAGAGTGCACCTGCACAGGGCCACAGGCCAACCGAGTAGGGACAGCCCCCCCCCAAAAGTGAACACTTAGCCAGGTCTTAGGTCTGCTCTCCAGACTCAGGGCACCCGTCCTGCCCCCTGCCCCTCAGGAGAAGACTGCATCGACATTCATGTATAAAAACAGCCAACTCCGCAGGACTTAGCCCATGAAGCCTGGATCTTGGGCCTCTTTGGGTCTGCAGTTTTTCTCTCTGTTCATCTGTCTCTGCCTCTTTCTCTCTCCGCTCTTTCCATACCTCTGTTTCTGTCTCTGTCTTCTTTCTCTCTCTTACTCCATGTCTCTGTCTCTTGTCTTCATGCCTGCGTTTCTACGCTTCTGTCTGTCTGTCTTTCTCCCTGTCTGTCTCTCCTATTATATTCCCCTGGAGCCTCACCCCCACCCCCTTTTTATCCCCTTGGCAACCCCTTGTTCTCTCTGTAGGATCCGGAGGTCCACCCACCTGCGGCTGCAGCTGCTGGCAAGGGAGGAGTACAAACTGAGCCGACTGATGGCCGAGTCCCTGCAACAGGACAAGGTGGCGCCTGTTCTCTACCAGCTGCACCTGGAGGCCCTGGACCGAAGGCTGCGCATCGTGCTGCAGGCCGTGCGGGACTGCGTAGAGAAGGATGGGCTGCGCAGCGTGGTGGAGGATGACCTGGAGGCTGAGCACAGAGTCACCACGGAGAGGTAGTGACCTCGCTGCCCACGAGGAAGGAGGAGCACATGGCTTCACACATCACCTGTGGACTCTGAATTTAGAGATGGGTCATCCCCACAGAATGGCCTTTGGCAGGGTGCATGAGGTTTCCCTCATGACTCCAGTGGGGATGTGTGGGCCTCTAGGTCCCGCACAGGCCGAACAAGGTGCCATGGATACCCAGAAGAATGGCCAGTGGGAAGAGCTCCATCCTTCCTCTGGGGAGGAATCTTTAGTCACTGTTTTGTACTTAACCTAAGGCTCACACTCCTGTAAACAGAGAGCCACCTACACAGACCAGAGATCACCTCAGGGGAGGACCTGCTATGATGTGCCCATACCCTGGGTCTCAGCTCTCAAACGCTGGAGAGCCCATCAGCTGGGGAGACGCCGATGGATGTCAAGGCCTACACGTGGACAAATGGGCACCTGAGCATCGGATTCAGATAAAAACTACCAGCTACCAACTTGTCCACCGCTATGCGGTGGCCAGACCTTACTGGTTGGCGGCAGGCACTGCCCACCTCAGCTTCTCAGTTCTGGACAGTGACCATCAAGGCACTGTACTGGGCCTATGGCCCCAGGGCAGCAGGCTAACCTTGCAGCATTTTTTTGTGGAGTAGTTTGCAGAGAGGTAACCCTGCAATAAAGATACAGCAAGCTGTGTCATGGCTGTCTAGAGCAGGGCGCTGGCTCCCTGGCTCAGTTACTTTCCCAGACAGCAAGGTCTAGAACCCAACATGGCCAAGCTGGGCTCTTACAGCATCTGGGTGGCCTGGGTCTGAGGCCTGCTGGAGCTGTGGAGAGAGCTACCTGTACAGCCTTGGGGTAAACAGGCTAGGTGAGGCCTATGCTCTCTAAGGGGAGGGCTAATTGAGAGGACAGGAGAGCTGCCAAGATCTGTCCTAGGTGTCCCCTACGAGGCTCTGAGCCACAAGTCCCCCAGAAGAGGCATTCATACAGTCCTGTGTAAGGCTACAACATACCTGAGCAGAAGCTACAAAGGTGGTTACCTAGGGGCCCACTGGGAGCTACCGATTCTTCCACTGCTGGCCCCAGGACTCAGACTCCCTCAGAGATCTCCTGAAGGGTCCCCCTCCTTCCAGAATGTGGTGATGGCTGGCCAGGGGCCAGACCTCTGCCAGGGAGCAGGGTCCAGGAGAGGATCCTGGGGACAGTTCACCACAGACTCTGCTGAGTCACAGGAAGTTGAAACCCAGGCCTGCTCCTATTCCTGCTCCTTCCCAGCTGTCACCCTGTCACTTGCTACCGCCCCCGCCCCCACCAAGGGGAGCTGAGTGGTATGAGCAGTTGCATTAAGATCCAGCAGGTGACCAGTGAAATCCCCACTGTCCTCTGAAGCAATAATACAAAACTAGATTTGTCTTCCTCCCTTTAAAAAAATATCTTATTGTGTGTGTGCACAGGTATTTCAGGTGTGTGTATATGTGTGCATACAAATTTCAGGTGTTTGTACATTTGGAGGCCAGAGCTCAAGGTCAGGTGTATCCCTTTATCACTGTGTATTACTTTTCAACACAGGGTTTCCCTGAACCTGAAGCTCACCCATTTGGCTAGGCTGGCTGGCAAGCGAGCCCCGAGGATCCTCCTGCCTCTGTCTCCCCAGTGCTGGGACTGCAAACCCGCACCACCATGCCTGGCTTTTTTACATGGACCCTCATGCTTACAAAGCAAACACTTCACCATCTGAGCCACCTCCCCAACCTTGTTTTCCTCCTTTAACAGAGGGGAAAGCGAGGCTCCGAGACAGGAAGTCAGGCCCTAAACCAGTAGCTTCCTGAGTTGGCAAAACCAGTGCTGGAAACCTAGAGAGAATGCCGAGGCCTGCTGGACCCCAATTCCCAGCTGGGCTTGGCACAGTTTCTGCACAGCACCCTGGCAAGAGGGCCTTAGACTGATGAACCTAGAAAGGAAATAAACAGTGATCAAGTGGCCCCCAAACCTGCTTCCCACTTTCCTGTGCCAGCAGAAGGCCCAGTGTTTGCCCTGTGCCTCAGGCAGGAGCCAGTGCTCCACCATTTGACCACCTGGCCAGGGACAGGCGAGCCTCCCCTGCCCCATGTGTTATGGGTGTCGGCTTTGTCCTGTCCACAGTCAGGGGGTTCCAGAACATTCCATGACCATCACCCCCAATTCTACAAGACCTTCCTCTGCTAACAGGCCTATGGGCCCTGTGGCAGGCCAGGCTGGAAGGTCTGTCCACCCTCATTGGATTGCAGAGGTGACAGAGATACAACCAAATCAGTCGCAAGACCAAGACAACAGGGACAGATGGTCACTCGGCAGACGTCCGAGAGATGAAGGAGAGGGTCTCACACACCCCAAATCCACAGGTTGATAGCCAACCCCTAGGGTGGCTGGGGGCAGGACCTTGGTGGATGTAAGGTGGTGAACGAGCTCACTGAGCTCACAACCTAGTGGGATGAGTCAGGACAGAACAAGCGCAAGCCAGGTGCAACAGCTCGTGCTGGTCATCCTAGCATTGGGAGGCTGAGGCAGGAGGATAGCTGTGAATGTCAGGCCAGCCTGGGCTAGAATGAGATAAAACAAAACAAGGTGAGTGAGATGGCTCAGAAGGGGCTTTGGGCCAAGGCTGACAATTTGAATTCGATCCCCAGGACCTACATGGTACAAGGAGCAAAATGACTGCCACGGGTTCTCTGACCTCCGCATGTACTGTGCCCCCAACACACACTAAATGTAAAACAACAAAACTGAAGAACCATCAGCACAGTCATACAGAGAAGGGCTGTCCTGTGAGGACACGGAGAAAACTCGGCTGCCAGCACAGGAGGGCAGCCTGTGCTGCCGCCCCAGAGGGAGCGGGCCCTGCCGGGCCTTGACCTTGGAGCCCATCGTCAGGGCAGAGACGGTGGGACCTGGCACAGCTGCCTGCTCTGTGGTCCTTGGACTGTTCTCTGCAGAAGCTCTGAGATGTCTGCTGTGAGGAATGAGAGTGCGGAGCACAAGAGGAGTAGACATGGGGAGCTGGCTACCAGGGCTGGGGATTCCACAGGGTCAGCCATGAGGGCACACAGCCCACCGCTGTGGAAGTGGAAGGTGCAGGCGGCTTTATACCACAGGGACATGATTCTTTCTTGGTGGTGGTTAGACTCGTGGAGCAGACTCGTAATCCCCAAGTGGTCATGGATAGGCCAGTCACAGCGTGGGGGCTTGGTGAAAATGGCAGGGCAGGCTTCCAGACTGAAAGCTGGTCATGTATCCAGAATCTTGGAGCCCCCAGGGAGTGGGGTACCCTCCCTCCATGCAAGCAGGGGCAACACGGGACTTACAGTCCTCTGCCCACTTGTGTCTGCTGTGCCTACTACAGAATAGCGTATGTGTCCGGGATGATGTAAAACCCAAGCTGTGCATAAACGAGGTGTGGTGTGCACACTTACAATACCAGAACTGAGGAGGCAGAAGGACCAGAGGCTCAAGCTCACTCTTGTTGACATAGCAAGTTTAAGGCTAGCCTAGGCTGCAGCAGACCCTGTGGATGGATGGATGGGTGGATGGATGGATGGATGGATGGATGGATGGATGGATGGATCGATCGATCGATCGATCGATCGATCGATAGATGGACATTAGAGAGAAAGGCCAGAGCCAAGACTCCCAACAGGGAGGAGGGCAGGTATGGTGTGACAGACAGGACTTCCAGTCAGGTGGAGAGTCCAACCCTCACAGCACAAAACAGGAACAGCAACCTAATGAAAACCGTAGATGGATGGGGAAGGCTAGACACCAGAGAACAAGCAGTTCCTGACCAGCTGTGACAGCCAAGGACTGTAGAGAGTGATGAAGCCAGGGACACTCCACCAAGAGGTAAGAGATACCAGGGGCTGGGGATGGAGGCAGAGGAGTGACCTTGGGCTCTGGTTCCATCAGCCAGGCACAGGTACTACAAAGATCAAAGCCAGGAAGAAAGGAAATAAGAGAAAGCCAGCTCGGGCTACATAGACTTCCCAGTGAGGACCTGGATCACGTTCTAGCAGGAGAAATGGAAGAATGCAAGAGATGATGTGGGTCTCCAGGTCTCCAGCATACCAGGAAGGCTCATTCCAGGCACGTGACTGGGCCTGTCCCCCTCCCCAGCCTTCTTGGCAGCATCTTGGAAACCTCTGAACCCTCCCACACAGTGACCAATAGGCCTGTTGCCAGTGGCCTGTATGGAAGGAATGAGACCTGCCTTGGCCAACGTGCTCCCAAAGCCAGGATGTGAATCAGGACAAAGTAAGGGCAGGACACAGAAAAGAGGCAAGGGATAGGGTGGTGACAGGGTTCCCAGAGATGACTGGTCACCCCAGCTTGGTGGATGTGGTAGGTTCCTGTGATACAATGAAGGAGGCAGGTGCCACCTGTAAATCAAGCCAGGAGAAAGCAAAGCCCCATGCCCAGAAGGAGAATGATCATCTAAGAAAGGAAGGGCAAGCATGGGGTGTGCTTGTATCGTGGGGGTACCCAGGCCAGGGATCAATCTTAGGCATTGTTCCTCAAGATGGCTGTCCACCCTAGTTTTCATTGTTGTTTTAAGGCAGTATTTTTCATTGAACAGGAAGCTCACCAATTCATCTAGGCTGGCCAGCCAGTGAGCCCCAGGAATCGTCCCATCCCCACCTCCCAGCACTGGAATTTCTGAGCATGCACCATCGTGCTTTTTATGTGGGTTCTAGGGATCAAATGGGTCCTCATGTTTGCACAGCCAGCATTTTACCAGCTGCCTTAGTTTGCTTTCAGTTGCTATGATAAAAGCACTGACCAAAACCAGCTTGGGGGAGGAAAGGGTTTATTTGGCTTACAAGCACAGTCCATCATCAAGGGAAGCCAAGGCAGGCAGGAACTCCAGGCAGGAACCTGGAGCACAGACCATGGATGAATGCTGCTTACTGGTTTGCTCTCCTGACCCTTGATCAGTCTGCTTTCTTATAAAACACAGACCCACATGCCCGAGTGGCACTGCCCACCATGGGCTTGGCCCTCCCACATCACTCAACAATCAAGAGGATGCCCCCACAGACATGACCACAGGCCAGTCTAATGGAGATAGTTCCTCCGTTGAGGTTCCCTTTACCCAGGTGTGTCAAGTAGACAACTAAAACACACCAACTGAGCCATCTCCCTAGACCCTGCAGGGGGTTTTCTTTGTTTTTAATTTTTATTTATTTATTTATTTTTATATGTATGAGTGTATGCCTGAATGTATATAAGTGTACCATGTGCATGCAGTGCCCTCTGAGGCCAGAAGAGGGCATCAGATTCCCTGGAACTGGAGTTAAGGATGGTTGTGAGCTGCCATGTGGGTGCTGGGAACCAAACCCAGGTATATTCTGCAAAAGCAGCCAGTGCTCTTAATTGCTGAGCCATCTCTCCAGCTCTGGATGTCCTCGTTTTATGAAACCATCTCACTAATGTACCAAGCTGGCCTTGAACTCCCTACAGTCCCTCCGCCTCCACCTCCCAAGTGCTGGGATTGCAGGTGTGTGCCAACAGGCCCTGCTTTGCAGAGGATCTGGACAAGAACTTACAAGGGTGGAAAGTTGGTGGGAAGCTGAAAGAGCATGGTGTGTTGACACACAGAGGAGAACAAGGAAAACGAGACACTGAAACTGCTTTCCTCCGGGCCTCTGGTACAGGAAGCATGAGGCCTGCTGCTTTTATAATCTGACCCACGATGTCAGTTGAAACCATAAACTCGGACTAGAAGAAGCCTTGGTTGGTAACAAGCTCAAAGCACAAGCACGAGGACCTGAGTTTGATTCCCAGAACCCACATTTTTTTTAAAAAGCCAGGCATAATGGCTCACGAATATAATCCCAGCACTGGGGAGACCAGACAGAAGGATCTCTGGGGCTCACAGGCCAACAGTCTAGCTTAATTGGTGTTTTCCAGCCCATGGAGGGACCCTGTGTCAAAGCACAAGGTGGACGGCACCTGAGGAACAAGACCTGAGGTTGACATCTGGCCTCTACACATGCGTGTGTATGCACACACACACACACACACACACACACACACACACACACACCAAAGAAAGAAATGTAGGTTCCCCACTCACTGTTTGTCTATGTGCCTCTTAGTGACCATGGAGAAGGGGTTACTGGGCTATTGACCCCATGTCACAAGTGAAGTAGCTTCTAAGTTCAGCACAGGGCATCGAGCCCCCAGCCACCTGCTCTCTCTACCAGTTCCCAGAACCAATGCCCAACACTGTGGCTGCAGTAACTCAAGTGCAGAGAGGGGCCTGGGGCTGGGGGAGTCCTGAGCAGAGCCAGGCAGGGGGTTCCTGGTCATTCCCCTCCCAGCTGCCCACTGCCCAGGGAGAGGAGGCTGCACTGCCATGGGAATTCAGTGTTCAGCTGAGGAGCCTTGAAAATTTCATG